CGAGACCTGACATGGGTGCCCCCGAGGGACCACGGGGTGGGGACGCAGGTGCAGTGACCCTGAAAAGGGAATATTTGGCTCAGTGCTGCCTGCCAAAGCCCAACACTTTACTGCTGGTGAGTGACACACACAATGCAGTGCAAGAGATCAAAGTGACAAAGCCTGTCCCATCCTTCGAGAACACTGCTCACAAACTCCAGTTGGAAGAGAATTGGCTCAGGGCACTGCAGGTTAATTATTACACCCAGGGAATAATCCACATTGTTCTTTAATGAAAGGGAAGATTTTAAAGTCTCATTACCATTCAGATCTGGTAAAGTTTCCAAACACTTCTACAACCAGCCCGTCAAGTTCGGAAAAGTTAACGCTTGGCATTCGCCCAGTCATTCACATCTCCAAAGCATTGTCCAAACACCAAGCTGCCGATTGAGGACTTGATTCCTTCTCCGGGGATGGGATCAGAGGGAATAAAGCAATTCCCTCTGTTAATCCCAGACTCCATTAAGATGCAAGCGACACAGAATTCTGCCATGCTAGTTATTTGTCCAGCAGCTAGGCGATGGAGCCCTGATCATTTGCAGTGATATCTCGGATTCTTTCCGTCTTGCATTGCAGGGGATGGCTGGTCTTGGGGCTGCCGGACTGAACCAGAACTCCATCAGTTCCTCGCTGTGCCACGGATACCTTCGGTGTATGGTTAACTCGCCTCATCTCTCTGCACCACAGGTCCCTCTCTGAGAAATGCAGGCAATGATGCCTCCCCTTTATCTTGGATGTTTAGACGGTAAGCGCCTTACTCTGAGCTACACAGCGTACACACAGAATGGGGCCCCAACTGAGGTAGATGCTACTCCGATAACTAAGGCAGCATACAGTTAAAAGAACCACCGCTTTCTTCAAGCTGTCCTCAAGCTGTGTAAAGGGACTGCAGACTCTGAAATTCCTCTTTGTTTTTAATAATCTACGACCAGCTTAGCAGACAGATCTATACAAAAGACAGAGGAAGATTTGCTGTTCTTTTTACTATTTGCACCTCTCTTAGCTCAGCTGAAGAAAACAGTTTCACTATTTATTTCTAGCCGGTTTCCACCTTTCCTGCACTAGGCACTGGTGCGGCTGCTGATTTGGGGTTAACAGAAAGATCTGCTCAAACATTTCCGATTGGTGGGTTTTATAAAATGCCTTTGGGAGCAAAAGTTAAGGCTTGACTCTAAACCTAGGTGACAACAGCTCTTTAAATCGCTGAGTAACTACCACCACCTCCTCGGTGACCCATTTTCCCAGAAGTGGGCTCCCAAGACACGACACAACCAGGTCATACTCCCTTTTCAACGTGCCTCAGCCTTTGATGGCTGACGTTCTGCCTGCCAGAGCATTAGAGCTCTGCAAAGATAAAAGAAAATCCAGTTTAATACACACAGGCCATGTCTACAGTAATGAAAGGTAACGAAGTGTGCAAGTTAACGTGCTCGAATCCGAGCGCAGGCAGGACAGTTGTAGACTGGCTAATGCATGCCAAAACGAGGCAAACCCACAACTCCCCTGCCACATTCTCCTTCACCAGTTATCACAAGTTAGAACTACAACTTGCCCTGTCTACACAAGGATTACACACTTTAGGTAACACACACACGCACCCCGACCTTTTTTCTAAGGAAGCCAAGGTCACAGGGCTAGACAATCCACACAGCTAACAGGGCTCTCTCTTAACATGCCCCGCACGCTGCACAAACACAGGGAGGCCCCAGCTGAGACAGATGCTACCACAACGCAAGTGCCCTGGCAATGAATCCCATCAGCGTCTCTGGAATCAAAGCTGTCCATTTGGTAAATCAACCTCCTAGCCCTGACAGCTGTGCCAAGAACGGTCCTGAATGTAAACTGGTACAATCTCACCTGGCTGAGCCAGCCACAGCACTCTGCCCTACCCTTCCACAGCCGCTTCAGAGCTTCCCCACGCGGCAGAATGATTGCATCGAGTGAGCGTGGCCAGTTTTAAAGACGCTGTTCAGAATGCTGTGAGTTGTCGCGAAACAGTCGAGCATTATGTCAAAAAGAAAAGGAGGAATTTGTGGCACCTTAGAGACTAACAAATTTATTTGAGCATAAGCTTCCGTGAGCTACAGCTCACTTCCTTGGATGCATTCAGTGGAAAATACAATGGGGAGATTTATATACACAGAGAACATGAAACAATGGGTGTTACCATACACGCTGTAACCAGAGTGATCACTTAAGGTGAAAGAAAAGGAGGACTTGTGGCACCTTAGAGACTAACCAATTTATTTGAGCATGAGCTTTTGTGAGCTACAGCTCACTTCATCGGATGCTCATGAAAGCTCATGCTCAAATAAATTGGTTAGTCTCTAAGGTGCCACAAGTCCTCCTTTTCTTTTAGCGAATACAGACTAACACGGCTGTTACTCTGAAACCTGTCACTTAAGGTGAGCTATTACCAGCAGGAAGGGGGGGGGGGGGAACCTTTTGTAGTGATAATCAAGATGGGCCATTCCCAGCAGTTGACAAGAACGTCTGAGGAACAGTGAGGGGTGAGGGGAGGGGGGGATAAACATGGGGAAATAGTTTTACTTTGTGTAATGACCCATCCACTCCCAGTCTCTATTCAAGCCTAAGTTAATTGTATCCAGTTTGCAAATTAATTCCAATTCAGCAGTCTCTCCTTGGAGTCTGTTTTCAAAGTCTTTTTGTTGAAAAAAACCACTATTTTCCACTGAATGCATCTGACGAAGTGAGCTGTAGCTCACGAAAGCTTATGCTCAAATAAATTGGTTAGTCTCTAAGGTGCCACAAATCCTCCTTTTCTTTTTGCGAATACAGACTGACCCAGCTGCTCCTCTGAAACCGAGCATAATGTCAGTTTCACACTTCCAGGCAAAGCTCCTGGCAGCATATGCTGGAGTAATTCACCAGGCAGGAGGACCCCCAGAGACCGAAGCTAGGGGAGAAGAAAAGCAGACAACCCGGTCCCCAGCTCCCTGATCGCAGCTTGAGGTCTCAGGAGGGATCATAGATGACAGTAGCCGGGAGAGGCTGGAACTTGGGATTTACCTGACGCCTACCAGCCAGAGGCGGACGTGAAAGAAACCCTTCACAGCCCAGCAGCCATGACACATCGGGCATGTCACAGAACCCGTTGTACGCCCCAGTGCCTACCCCGAGGCAGTTTCAGGCATGACAACAAGGGAGGGATGGGGCGAGGAATGATCAAGGCTCAACAAACAAGATCAGGCAGCTGCTCAGCTCAAGCTTGTGCACCCCTGGACAGCTCACGGGACTGTCACAGTTCTTGATGACTGGATTGCAGCAGGCATCCCGGGAGAGGCATATGAGCAGAGGGAGCTGGGCCTGTTTCCAGGGGTCTGCCCTAGTCCTTGCGGGCAGATGCCCCTTTCCTTCATTGCTACCGAGTGACCCTCTAGCTACAAGGCACCCAGCAAGTGTTCCAAGCCCCGAATACACAGTGTATCACATACACACACACCAGCTACACCGGCTGGGCTATGCTAGGATCCTTCGCACTGCGGATCCCACTGTGAGAGAGGGGACAAGGAGGGGAATCTACCCTCTGCCTGAGCCTTCTCCATCGCTCCGAGCCGCCTTCCTGCCTCTCTGCAACATCAGTACCCCGCAAAACTGGGCCACTGCCTCTCCTCTCCCCCGTTCCTCTGGCTCTCCTCCCTCCTCCACGATGGACCGATTCTCCTCTATTCTCCATAGTGCAAACCCCGCACCGCTGCTTCTGGTAACTGACGCCTATTACCCAGAGCTCTAAAGGCTTTCGGGATGCAGCGTGCGTGGAAGATGCTCTGCAAGCTAGAGTCAGAGCGTTCAGCTGGGGCCCAAGGAGCAGATGCTGAATGGAAGCTGCGGCACCCCTGGGTCTGGGGATCTGGGTCACGTGGGCAAATCCTGGCAGGGATGGATAATGCCAAGCTTTGTGTGGGATCTGAAAGCAGCGTTTTCTCCCTCTAACCCCTAACACAGTCTAACCCAGGCAGCTGGAGCTTTCCAGAGAAGCCTGCGTATGTGTTAGCACAATGCTGCACCAAGCCCAGGGCAGCAAAGGACACATGGCTCCCCAGCGCATCGCCGAGAGAGCCAGCCAAGCCCTTCTGTGGCTGCTGTGCGGGGGGGGCTGTGCACGGCACCTACCCCAGAGGGTGGCACAAGCATCCCCCCACCCAAAGTGGTTTGGGCACCAATCAGTGCGGTGCAAACCCTTTGGGGTCTCCAGGAGCACCCCATGGGGGAGAGGGGGGCAGCTTGTGGGACTGCCAATGCAGCCAGGAAAGAGACCTCCTTCAAACCCTGCACAGCCCCCTCAGCTCAGCCACCAGCCCGCCCCTTAGTGCCCCAGTGAGACTCCCCCCCAACCCAGCCAGCCTTCCTGGATGCATGCATGCAGACCTCTTGCCACAGATCCCCATAACCCACACAGCCCCCCTGCATCCTCCCGGCCCAGCCTAGCTCCCCCAGCTTCCCCCCACCCCAGCCCTGCACAGTCCAGCCCCCTTGCCCCAGCCTCGCCTAACTCCCCCCCCCAGCCCCCTTGCCCCAGCCTCACCCCCCGCCTAACTCCCCCGCCAGCCCCCTTGCCCCAGCCTCACCCCCCCGCCTAACTCCCCCCGCCAGCCCCCTTGCCCCAGCCTCACCCCCCCGCCTAACTCCCCCCGCCAGCCCCCTTGCCCCAGCCTCACCCCCCCGCCTAACTCCCCCCGCCAGCCCCCTTGCCCCAGCCTCATCCCCCCGCCTAACTCCCCCCGCCAGCCCCAGCCAACCCCCCCCAGCTCCCCTCTAGCCCCCCACAACCCCAGCCAACCTGCCCCCAGCAGCCCCAGCCGCCCGCTCCAGCCCCCCCGGAGGCCCCTGCACGTCCGCCACCGGCAGCCGACTCCTCCCCCCGGCCCCACGAAGCCGGCGGCGGCGGGAGAGAGCCCGGAGAGGGTCCGAGCGGGACCCCCCCCGCCGGCCGCACTCACCCGATGCGGAAGACCAGGGGCCCGGCCAGGGCCATGAGCACCTTGGCGAGGCAGCGGCGGAGGCGGCGCGCCGGCCGGCAGCGGGCGAGGGAGGCGGCCCCCAGCCCGCAGCAGGCGGCCAGGGCGGCCGCCAGCAGCTGGAGCCGGGACAGGCAGCCCGGCCGCGCCATGCTGGGGCCGGCCCCGCCCCCCGGGCCGGCCCCGCCCCCCGGCGCCCGGGCGACCGGCGAACGCCGCCGGCCCCAGCCTTCGAGCCACGCCCCCTTCGAACGCCCTGTAGCCAGCGCCCGACACCCGGCGCGCTGGGAGGGCTGCGGCGCCCCCTGGTGGGCGTTGGCTGTCGCCGCCCGAGGGAAAGGGGGCCCCGGGCTCCCCCAGCTGGGGACGGCTGCGGGGCTGAGCCTTGGCTGGGCGCGGCCTGCTCCGAATTAGCTGCGGATCGGGGACAAGTTGCCCTTGCAACGGATTCGTTCCCCTTCCTCCTGGCCCCTACCGGGTCAGGGCCTCTTACAGCCTTCTTCCGAAACCCGTGAGCGCGGGCCGGCTGGGATCCGCTGATAAGGGGCCCACGGGCTCGAGTCATCCCCCTCGGCCTTCTTCAACCCACAGTCACTGCAAGAGCCGCCCTTCCACTCTAACTTCCCTGTCCCTGCCGGATAAGCCCATATCAACACAGCCTAGCCTCCAGGGACTTGTCTTTAACTGGAGCAACCCGCTGAGCTATCATCAGTTATTAATTAGCAATATCAGGGCCAGTTGTTAATGAATGCAGACCGTGTATTTTGCATGAGCATTGTCACACATCATAATTAATTAATTAATTAATTAATTAATGCAGCCAGGAAAGCGGCCTCTTTCAAACCCAGGCAGGGTGGCCACCCTGTACAGCCCACTCAGCTCAGCCACCAGCCCTCTAACTATCTCCACAGCTATCTGTGCTTTCTTCTCCATCACCCTCTATGCATGGACCTTCTTCCTTACCTGGCACCTGAGCCTGCCAACACCTAGGCATAGTAGTAAAGTCAGTAGGAGTCTATGTGGGCACCAAGGCCCTGCCTGCATGGATCTGATTCCAGGACTGGGGCCTTCGCTTGTGGAGTTTGCCTTTTCAACTAGCTTTGAACATGGACTTGCGTGCCCAGCCTGGTCACTCTAACAGAAGCATCTTTAACTGAGGACTGTAATTCGCTCCTCCTAAATTGGCCTTGTAAGTCTCATGAGCAGAAACAGTGAGGTTGCAGAGTGTGAGAGCTTCATCACGAGAATGCAGATCCTTAACCAAAGCATTAAAATAGAGTTTATGAAACCATGCCAACCCCTTTGGCTTGGCTCGCTGCACAGCGCGAATTTCACCCCTTGTTCGCCAAAACTGACATCCCAGAGCAGGGTGTTGTTATAACGAACGGTTCCTACTTTTACTCTATCAGCATTTAAGGAAGGCATGTACTTAATTGGAATTGTTCACCTAACCAGAACCCCACCCTCCACTGGCGGGGTGAATGATATGTCCAGGTGTTAGAAAGAGGGCTTCAGTCCACAAAGTCAGAACAGCGCACTTGGAAAGCAATTTTATTTTAAGGGACCATCCCTCAGTTCATGTATTTGTCCCTTGGGGTGACCATCTGCCCCTTATTTTAGGGGATGTCCCTTGACCGTTTTAAACATCACAATATAGCTTGCGCTAATTGCCCTGTGTAACGCTGAGCCAGCAAAGGATTAACAATCAGCAAGTTAGGTGACCTGTAAGCAATCCTGAAGGACAGATCCAAAGGGTATTGCAATGGTAACCAGGGCCATTCCCTGTAGATAAAACAATGAGGAGTCCTTGTGGCACCTTAGAGACTAACAAATTTATTTGGACATAAACTTTCGTGGGCTATAACCCACTTCATCAGATCAAAGCCATGTTAGTAGACTAGAATCTTTAACCTGTTTGCCTGCATTGTTAGAGAATCAAGGGTAGATGCTAGGTGTATTTATCTGTGTTTACCTATATCTTGTCAGAAGTTTAATGATGTAACCAGATTATCTTGTAGATGCTAATTACCTTTCATGTCTTAATTGCCTTATATTATGCACGTGTATGGTTCAGTTAACCTTAAGATCAAAGATGTGAAGATACTGCAGGAGACTAATAGTAGTATTTACATTGTCTTCAACTTAACTATCTATGCTATAATGGAATATCACCTAATGACCTTATTCACCCCTTCTCGTCAGCTGTTGTGAATAGCCCACTTCCACCTCAATTGAATTGGCTCGTTAGCACTGACCCGCCCCCCCCCCCCAATTTGGTAAGGCAACTCCCATCTTTTCATGTGCTGTGTATTAATACCTGCCTCTGTATTTTCCACTCCATGCATCTGATGAAGTGGGTTTTTGCCCACAAAAGCTTATGCCCAAATAAATTTATTAGTCTCTAAGGTGCCACAAAGACTCCTCGTTGTTTTGACCTTATGTGAATGAAAGCAATTAGTTTACCTGTGCATGCATAGGAAATATTCTTCCTCGGGGCAGGTCCTGCTGTGACAATTTCTGTGAGGAGGTTGGTCAGCCTGCTCTAAAGGAAAGCCCCGGGCCTGATCCTTTCATCTCAGGTCTGCTTAAACTTTAACAGCGAAGGTCTAACAAAGCCATAGAAGAATGAGGTCTCCAGGTTTACCCTGGATTTCCCCTAGACACACCTGAACAGTATCTACACCTGGGCTGCCTATCTGCCTAGACCCTTTTAAATCAATTCCAGAAAGACTTTTGCAGATCAGCAGCCTCCCCATCTCTGCTATGAATCTGACCTACTGATCTTTTAACCATTGGCGACTCTCTTCTTTCTTTTTCCTTCTATTATTAAACTTTTCATTTTTCGTTACTAAAGGATTGGCATCGGTGTGATTATTGGGTAAGATCTAAGACTCATATTGACCTTGTTACTGGCACAGAGTGCCCGAGGCAAGCAACAGCTGGGTTCGTTGCCCGGTACGCGTCGTGCCAATGACCACAACGGGGTGGAGAAGCAGAGAGATTTATCTGAAGCTTCAGATAGGACGCAGGGAGACTGAGCTGTCTCAAATCTTGCAGCCCCGCATGCAGATTCCAGTATACATTTTATACCTTTTCCTACTTCACTACACAAGCTTATGCAACCAATTACCTGTTGCCCCGTCCAATACCGTAGCCAATCAGCTAAAGCAGCCAGTTGTGTTTTTCTTCATTAGCAGTTCCCGAGCCTTGCCTTATTAGGTTCTATTTGTTACTAGCTTTTGCTAAACATTTCTGCCTTACTATACTGGCCTTGGCTGGCGAGCCGTGTGCAAACCTGTCTGTTTGTGTGCTAGCTTCCTCATAGTTGGGCAGGGTCACAAAAAGTTCAAGGAGCGGAGGGGCTTCAGTTTGCCTGGGCCTAGAGCAAGGGGGCTTCATCGACACTCGTGGTCTTCCACCCGCCCGAGTTACCCAGAGTAGTGCCCAGTGTCACCAACAACCTGGGGATAAGTGTTTGGTCCTTTGGGATGGGTGAACCTCACATATGGTGAATCAGGTTTTCAGTGACCTCTCACTATCTTCGACTTGGCTGTCTAGATGGGAGCCAAGGGCCAGAATGCCTAAAGGGGACTGGATTTGGGGTCTTGGTAACCAGTACGGTATTACAGAAGCTGCTTTGTTGTTGGCTTGGTGAATCTGTAGAATAAACCACCAGTTCGCAGGACTGTCTGCCCGATTCCTTGCAGTCTGCCCTGTGTGTAGCAGCTTCAGCATGGCCCATCCAGGCACTCGGGCACACACTGTATATTTGAAAGCGGTAGCAGTGCACACGAGAGAGAAAAATCCATGAGATGCCCAGGGAAATGGTGTTTCCCTGAAACATCCCTTCACATAAAGCCTCGTCCCTTATTTTTCCAGGTGGTTTTCACTTGTTTCCGTCCAACAAAGGTGGAAGCCTGAAGATGGGACAGGCTGAGTTAAGGGGAAGGGTGTTTATTGAGGAGTGAGCTGGGGGTGTACAAATGCAGAATGGAATGTCACCAGTTGGCACTCCTTCGTACTGGCGCAGGTTTCTCTTTAGGGAGGAATGTGTTTCTTTTTCTCTAACGGTACGATTGGTAGGAGTTAGAGCGAGGGAGTTTCTGGAGGAGGACTCTGGCAAATTGAGATTGAAACAAAATATGCTTGAGGGACTATCGCCCGAGATAATTAACCAAAAAAACCTCCGTAGTCAAAGACCAGCGACTGGAGAGGGTGGTGATCACAGACAAACACAGAGCTGGTGTGGGACAGACTGTGTCTAAAGAACAAGGGAATGTGATAAATATTTCCTCCACTGCTCAGGAGTCATGGATAAACAGCGATGAGGAAAAAACCCATGCCTCACCCTTGGGGAAAAGAGAGAGACAGGATTGCACCCCAGAGCCGCCAGGTCAGGAATGGGCACTGCTGACGAATGGACCCCAACGCAGTGTGGGACACCACCCTGGGTGATCTCACCGAGCTTGGGTAGAGAGACAAGGGGTCTGTCTCTTGGCAGCGCTGGTGTCGCTTCTCATGCCCACGAAGCCCCATTGAATTACGCAGGCCCCAGGGGCACTTCCTTGCAGCCTCTGCTGCTCTCTCATTGGTAAAAGACTTCAGCCTTAGCGGACGTGGCAGAGGCCTGAGCCCATGAGGTCACAGGCCTTGGGTCCCACGTTCAATCACTGTTGATGACAGCCACAGTTTCTACCGCCGTATGAGTCCACAATGATCTACCACGATGTGGCGCGCAGGGTTAAACCTCGTTGCTAGGAGCTGTGTGTGACCATCACCTTTTAGGCAGGAGGAGGGTAAAGTAGTGACTTAACTAACCACAATAAACCCAAACCCCAGGCATGTCTCCAACCCCTCCCTCTCCCCAAAAAGCAAATGCCAGGGGCGAGTGTGTAAATAAACAAGATTGCCTCCCTGAAATACCTGGGTATCATCAGTTGCACCTCCCCTTGGGAACAACCTGCAACACCTCAAATTTGGCTAGCCACTCGGATCAAAAGAAGTGACAGCAGCAAAATGCTCTGGAGTTATTGGTAACTAGCCATTTGTTCTGTGCACAAACTAACACACAACACAATCTGTGTTCTCTCCTCCCTGGGAGAGTTTCCAACAGAGAATACAAGCAGCAAGACCTGGGGGCAATCGTCTCTGGGGAGCTGGAAGAGAAGCTAGTTGTACCTTCCCGCCCAAAAAAATCAATACGTCGTATAAAAACCAGAGTTCCCTTGGGAAGATGAATTCCAGAAGTAACAGGTCTTCCTCTGGCCGTACACGGAGAGATTCCTTAATTGAATAACTTACCGTCGAAATAACGGGGCTACAGAAGAGAAGGTGATTTACAAAAACAACGAGGAGTCCGGTGGCACCTTAAAGACTAACAGATTTATTTGGGCACAAGGTGATTTAGCCCCTCTGGCCAAGTCCAGTGGAGTTAGTGTCCAAACGGGAACATAAACCCATTCTTCTAGCCCAGACTCCTGCTGGGCCCACTCTTCCTCTGCAGGTGGGCTCAGCTTCCCGTCCTTTCTTCCTCGCATTGACGGGGTTGCTGTACCAAAGGCGGCGGCATCGGGAGAACCAGCATCGGCCCTCTCCACGCCCCCCGTCCTGGGACTCCAAACAATTGGACTGTCTGCCTCAGAATGCAGACTGCCTTCTCATCTTCCCAGGGCCTCTCCCACGAGCCTGGCTTGGGCCTCCACACATCGACCCAGTGGCCCGTAGATCTCCCAGCAGGCCTAGTTCTTAGCCACGTGCTCCCCCATCACCTGGCCCCAGTCTCCACCCGGGGTAGGGAGGCTGCGGCCCAACCCCCTCGAAGGGCCAGCGCACCTGGGGACATGGTCCTTTGTGCGGCGCAGAGACCAGGCCGTGGCCTGGGGAGCCGGGGAGATCGGTGGCCTTGAGGGAGGAGCCCACAAGCTCCCCAGCCGTGGGGCAGCAGCAGCTTTACCGCAGGGGGCGACCCCGGTTCGATTCGGCCCCGTCACCATTTCCTCGCTGGTTTCGATCCCTTTCGATTCGTTTGTTGAAAACGAAAGTCTCTCTCGGCTGGTCCCCATTCGTTGCTATGGAAACGATGACGTCACAGGGACGGGACTGTTGAGGCGACTCCGCGTGGGGTGGAGAGAAATAAACCCGCACTTTACGCGGTGCGTTGAAACCGAGCGGGTCTGTGAAACGCTGACGTTTCTCTGCTGTTTTCCCAGGGGCGTAGAGCAGAGGTGGGCAAACTCCGGCCCGCAAGCCACATCCGGCCCGGGGGACCGTCCTGCCCGGCCCTTGAGCTCCTGGCCGGGGAGGCTCACTCCCGCCCCTGCAGCCTCAGCTCCCCATGCCGCCAGCGCTCTGGGGCTGCGATCTCCTGCCGGGCAGCGCGGCTGCGAGAGCCGCCGGCCTGCCCCGCTGCGCCAGACTGCGCGGTGCCGTGGCTGGCTCTGGCCGGGGGGCGCGGCTGCTAGTCCTGGTGCTCTGAGCGGCGTGGTAAGGGGGCGGGGAGTTGGATAAGGGGCAGGGGGCTCCAGGGGGCAGTCAGGGGACATGGGGTGGTGCTAGGGGTTGGGGAGTCAGGGGACAGAGGGGTTTGGATGGGGGTGGGGTCCCAAGAGGGGGCTGTCAGGGGACGGGGGGGTTGGATATGGGGTGGGGTCTCGGGGGCGGGGGCGGTTGTCCCGGGAGGGGGCTGTCAGGGGATAAGGAGCAAGGGGGGTTGGATGGGTCAGGGGTTCTGAGAGGGGCAGTGAGGGGAGGGAAATGGGAGGGGATGGATGGGGTGGGGGCCAGGTTGTTTGGGGGGCACAGCCTTCCCTACCCGGCCCTCCATACAGTTTCAGAACCCTGATGTGGCCCTCAGGCCAAAAAGTTTGCCCACCCCGATCTAGAGGGTTCACATACCATTGTGATGGGCATGGGACAGACAGACAGACAGACATGTCCATTTTGGGACACAAACAGACTAGCAGTATCCCAATAACATAGGATTAGGAACACTCCATTCATGGACCCCTCACCTCTAGGGTGCCCCCTCATGCCGGGAGAGGGCATTGCAGAGGACTTCACTTTTCATTACCCGACACACACCCCTGCCCCCCGTTGGCCCCTTCCTCAGCCCCGATGACCAGTCCTAGCCGGTGTCTTCTCCTGACCCCTGCTCTGAGTTTTCTATGGCTTGGCCCTCTGGCCAAGTCATGTAACAGTTCACCCCCTGCTTCCGGGGTAGTAAAGTCCAGCTGATATGCACAAAAGGTCTTTCACCCCTCCTGGGCTTCTTTGCTTTCCTCATCCTGCTCAGAGTGCTGATTCCCCAGGCTTTTCCCTGCTGGAAGTCCAAATACCGCACAGGCTGGTCTTCCAGCCTCTCCTGGGCTTCTCTGAAATCCTTTGCTTCTTGGCTCCTTCCTCTAGCCCATGCAGAGTGCCTCTTATCTTGCTTCTTCCCCGGCAGGATTCCCCAGCCTTCCCTTTGCCAGGGACTCCAGCAGTTTACCTCTGGGAGGAAATCCTCTAGCTCCCTGCAGAACTCAATTGGGCTTCCTCGAGCTCGTCCCATAGGATGACTCCCCTTGTTTTCCTCTCCGGAGTCTTCCCTCTGCTCCTGAGGGCCCAGCTCTGCTTACATAACCCTCTCCCTGCTTCACCACCGCAGCTGGGGGCTGTCTTTCTAATTAAACTCCATTCATCCAGCTGGGATCACTAATTAGCCCTTATGTTGCCAGCTTATCAATGAGACTTAGGGATAGCTGCTAAGTCACGGGTAGGGTTGAACCCAGCTTGCCTCCAAGGGTCAGTCAGCCTGAGACATTCCCTTTGTCATTTCTACTGGGCAACTCTCCTTCTCCAACCCCCGTGGCAGGACATTACCTCTGTTTAAAGTATAGACACAGGGGTCTTACTCGGCTACCTGGGCTCTCAGGCTGAGTTTCGGCAGTTGCGTTGACAGGAGAAAATGTCTATGGAAAGCTCAAGACATCAGGGAAAAATCCATGGCTGGCAGGGCTGACGACAATTAAAGGGAGTTTTTTTAGAGTCTGAACAAAAGACATCCTAGCAATGGCACAGGCCCATTACTCGATGGAGATGGTAAAACCATTACTAACGATGCAGAAAAGGCAGAAGTGTTCAATAAATATTTCCTCTCTGTATTTGGAAAGAAGCAGGATTTTGTGCTCGAATCGGGAGGAGGATAAAGTATTTTGCAGTCTTTTTGTAACTAAAGAGGATGTTAAACAGCCCCTAATAGGATAAGCATTTTTAAATGAGCAGACCCAGGTCTTAAAAGAGCTGGCTGAGGAGAACTCTGGCCCGTTGATGTTAATTTTTAATAAATCTTGGAATCCTGGGGAAAGTCCAGAGGACTAGAATGAGTGCTAATGTTGTGCCAATATTAAAAAAGGGCAAGCAGGATGACCCAAGTATTTATAGGCTCATTAGCCTGATATCAATCCTGGGCAAAATTTTATAGTTATATGGTAAAAATGAGAAAGTCAGCAACTTGTGAGTGATAGTGGGTGGTGACACTTTTGTAGTAGTATGTCTGATTTTGTAAGCAAGTAGTTTTTCAAATGAGGTGAAACTTGGGGTATGTAAGACCTATGAGAGTCCACAAAAGGGGACAGTTGTCTGGGAAGGTTGAGAGCCACTGCGCTAGTCCATTTGTAACAAGCCTAATTCAAAAGTCCCCAGTAGCGTTTTTCTTCCTTTGCCTATCTGTAAATTTCAATTATTATCCACGGGAATCTTTTGAGTCAGTTGGTGTGTCTGGTGAAACTGACATTTAGCAAGGTATAATGATAAAAATATAACCCTCCACTGCTTACCTGTAGTCAAGTCACCCCTCGGTCATCTGTGTGTTAAACGAAACCCATTCCGCTCCGGAAGTTTAACTGTAAGGCATTTTTCCCAACCACTGAACCATATATTTTTTTTTTGGCTCTTTCCTATACCCACTCGTTTTCCAACATCCTTTTAAAAATGTGGGTGTGACTGGTTGTCCCCGGGGGCCACCTGGAACTGTAAGTTCATGAAATGTGCCCCCCTCCCTCAGTGTGGAGAGGAGTATACACAGCTTTCTACCCCAAATTATGACTCCTGCACATACTGGTTTTAGAGAAAGCAAAAATAAATTTATTAACTACAAAAGATAGATGTTAAGTGATTCTAAGGGGTAGCAAACAGATCAAAGCAGATTACCTTGCAAATAAACAAAAACACAATCTAAGCTTAATATACTAAAGAAGTTGGATATGAGTTGCAAATTCTCACCCTAACTGTTGGTTTAGGCAGTTTGCAGAGGTTCTTGAGGGCCAGCTGCACTTGCTTGCAGCTTAAAACCCCAAATATTCCTTTCACAGGCTAGAAACCCCTCTAGCCTGGGTTCAGCCCTTCCCCCCACATCCCGTTCAGTCCTTGTTTCTCAGATGTTTCCAGGAGTCTCCTTTGAGCGGGGAGTCAGTGAAGAACCATGATGATGTCACTCCCCTGCCTTATATAGCTTTTGCTTATGGCGGGAATCCTTTGTCTCCAACTTTAGTTCCCACACCTTTCAGTGGAAAAACACTGGTATTCTATGATGCCTCTGTAGGGCCATAGCAGCCATGAGACAGAGGGTGTTTGTAATGTCCCCAGGAAGGCTCCCCAGTGGGATATTAGCATCTTCTAAGACCGATTGTTTTCCCTAATGGCCCTTCCCAGCCAGCCATCTAGACTGATTGCATTTTGCCTAGTGGGCATTCCCCAGATGTAAACACATTTGTAATAGATTCATAAACAACATTCCTAACTTCAGATACCAAAATGATACATGCACACAAATAGGATAATCCCATTTAGTAAATCACAACCTTTGCAATGAGATCTCACATGCCTTATCTTGCACAAAATACCCCATAGTTATACCAAAAGCATATAATATTATTACGGTGAAGAACTTGGGGCGTAAGGCCACAATGGGCACCAGAACTGTACGCAATATGCCAGTAGCTGTCTCGCCAGGGCTGCATGTAGATCTGCTACAATCACCTCTCTGATCCTATTCACCACTCCCCTCGCTGTACATCCCAGGATCACATTAGCTCTTTATGCCATAGCGTGGCTTTATTGAGCGCACCCTGTTCTTTGGTGCCGGGAGCTGACCGTGCTGCTCCCACTGGCTGCAGCATTAGAATATAATACAGCTTATGCTATACGGCCATCCCCTCATGGCCCCTGCTGCATGGACTGGGGACCGCTCCGAACTTGGCTAGCGGAGCGCTCCCAGAGAAGGGGTCTCTCGGTCTGTCCTGCACGGGGGGCCGTTGAGCCAATCCACTAACCTCTGCAGCGCACCCGGCAGCCCTTTGCATAGCAAAGCTAACCCCAGCTGGCCAACGCCCCCGCCCTCAGCCAGGACAGAGCCGGGCTCTGCTCATCAGCAGCTCTGCCTCCAGGCCGGCACTCAGAACGGGCAGGTCTCCCTTCCTAGACGGGCGTAGCACAGATCTGAGGAGGGCTGCCCGTGAAAGGGGCGACTCCCGGCCATGTGCTGTGCTGACCTCAAATCATCTGCCAGGGACATCGGGATTTAAGGCACTGAGTGAACAAGGCTGGCCCAAGCCGCTAGCGTCGTGGGAGGAGCACAAAGGGTTGACACTGGCTGCACCCCCACTTTCCCTGCCCACACCCTGCCCTTTTGGCCATTTGCCTGGGGATTCTGATCCAGCCGCCCTGCTCTGAGCCTGCTCTTCCCAGGAGGCGCTGGGAGCCGGCTCTGGGTTCAGCTGCTGCCCCCCGCTTCACCAGCACTGCCCTGGGGGAGCCAGAGTACTCCAACGCAGCGTTCTGCCCCATCCCGCCCCCCCTTACAGCACCTGTTCCAGCCTCTAGTATTAGGGGTGGTGACTTACAATGCTGCCTGCGGCCCCTTCCTGCAGCCCCAGTTCTGTTTCCTCCTGCAATAAGCGACTCTCTTACTAGAGAGCATGAGCAACATACACAGCACGGTTCTTTGCAATTCCCCTTGTGCCATTCGCCTCCCCCCGTCAAACGGTGTTATTTCAAGGCCCTTTGGCTTTCCGGCCTAGTCAAATATACAATACGACAGCTTGATACAAAAACCTTTGCGTACCAAGGATAAAATAGATTGAATTAAGAAGAACAGAAACCTGTCAAAAGCCAGCCTGGGTCTCTCCTGTGTACACTTCACAGGCTGTAGCTAAGGAGATTTAAAAAAAAAAAAAAACTTAACATAAGGCTAGTTGAAGGCACGTAACAAACCAGAGACCAAAGCAGTATTGTTAACCCCAAAGATTTTTGTTGTACTGTTAAAAAAACCCCACTCTCAGACACAGGGTAACAACTGTGCTGGGAAAATACTGATTTCTAGGACGTGTAAAAAAAATTTCCCCTTGCATTGATCGCAGCCCCCTCTGCTTCTCCCCACTGGAGGGCGCTCTGCAGGACAGAAGGAGCTTGCACACCGGGGCTTGGATCGGAGCGAGGACCGAGCCCCTGTCTTTCTGCTCTTCTTTGAGTGGGTTTGGATCTGATGAAGGTGCTGCCCCTCTGCCGAGCTTTCCCCTCCCCTGTGGCATCTCACCTGGGTCCAAACAGCAGCTGGGGCTGACATGTCTCAAGCTTGATCTCAGGCAGCTCCAGGCAACTCAAATCATCCAGCAAATTATTTCGGAGTAACGCTGCTTGCCAGGCACGGGGCGGGATAGGTCAGGCTTACGTTAAGGTGAGAGACGGAAGCCTTGACCCGCCTGCTCTCTACCACAAGAGAAGTGAATTCACTTCTCCTTAGGGTGCAGGATCTGATCTCACTGCTCAACATGTGGAGCGTGATGTCCAGAAATGCCCTCTCTCAGCTATTTTTGGGGAATATGAGGTGCCCCCTTGTCTTAGCAGGTAGTGCTGGCAGAGGGGCCGTGTGCGTGGGTCTGGGGGCAGGTGCCTTGCCTGGCACCGAGTTCTGAGGGCTGCTATGGGGATGAACTTGGTGCATTGACACATCCCTGGGGGCAGCGTGGGGAGCAAAGAAAGACGGGAGACCACGTGGGAGCACAGAGGGCAGCCGAGCAATTAACAGGGCAGGCAGAAATCTGCCAACGTTGGCTTCATTGCTGGGCAAAGCCTCATTACTGGGCTTCTCCAGGGCACAGTCTTGCCCACTACTCCTCTAGGCACAGACTGTGGGAATCCCACGCTGGGCTCCCCGGGGAAGGAGGGAAACCAGAGGCCATTGGCTGGGTGACACACACCGGGGCAAGGAGGGAGAAAGGAACAGAAGCAGGAAGGAAGCAAGGTGTTCCCAGAGCACTCCTCGGCCCTGGGCCATGCCAGCCGGGAGCCCCCCTAGAGGCTTTATTTACAGCCCAGGAACCGCAGCAGGAACAAGAAGATGTAGACGATGTCCACGTAGATCTCCAGGGCGCCGAAGACGTACTCCTCAGGGCTGAGGTTGTACTCCTTGGTCCCTACCAGCACCTGGGTGTCGTAGGCTAGGAACTGGGGAGACCACAGACAGGGCGATAGGTCAGCCACGCCACTACAGATCCTCAGCCCCACGTACCTGAGCCAGGAGCTGCCTCCATCCTCCCCCACCCGCCCCAGGAATGCATCCGACGCAGCAGCCCACATAGGAGGCTCCCGGCTCAGCGACATTACTCACCAGGGTGAAGGCGATCGCAACCACGGCCGCAAACACCATGTGGACCCACTGAATCTGCAGAAAGAGACTACAGGGTGTCAGGATTCTTGGGTTTGCATATCGTCTGAAAGAGCAACTCCAGCAACACAGCGCCCCCTTGCACAACTCGGGGGCTCTAGGGTCAACACCAACGCAGAGGGGAGAGCACCCTCTACTGAGTCACCCACACGTCAACCAGATGCACTCGGGGTTTTCTCAGAAGTCTCCCATCCAAGCATCAACCAGGTGTAATCCTGCTCAGCTATGAAAGGTGGCAAGTTGCTCTCTCTTGTTTGAGCTCAAGGAGGTACAGCTTCAGGGTGGAGTGAAGAACAATGATCTGATTTTAGCTACCCACCCCTCCCAAATACCATGTCTGCACCACAGCTGCCTTTTAAGGTGGACCAAGTCTCCCAGGCAATACTTCCGCTGTCAGCAAAACATCCGCCAAAATCCCTGGCTGACCACAAGCTGTGGCTGAGTGCAGTTGGCTCAGGGACAGAGATTTGCTTTGGGGTAAGTTGCTGAAGTGGGATCCGTTTGAGAGATAAAGTTTTGGTAACTTCATTCACCCCCTGCCCAGAACTTGATGTGATCAGGGATGAAATCTCCCTGCTGCTGACATTCTGATTTGCCATAATTAGGTTTCAGAGTTAACATCTCCCCTGTGTAAATGAGAGAGGTCACCCATCTGTCGGGGCTTCAGGTTCTCTGCATACTCAGGCAGGTCACATGTGCCATGCTGGAAACGTTGTGCTTAAGTTCTGCAGATATGGATGGGGCCTGCAGAGGGCAGCATTGGTATCATGTTCTGGTCTGTCCCTGAATAGGTCTCCCCAAGTCCTCATGTTACAAGGAGCAGCCACTACTCACATATTTGTAGTAGAGGACGATGGCAGAGACTATCGAGGTCAGAAGGATGACGATCCCCAGCACACAGAACAGCCCGGTACACGATGTGAAATCCACCTGCCAGCGGGAGGAAGATAAGTCACTGAGAGACCCACAGAGCACAGCGGAACACAGCCATCCCGCTGCACCAGGATGGACTGACTTAAATCAAAGCCATGTCCATCACCGATTTTAACCATGATTTAAATCAGCAAGAGGGAAACCTTGATTTAAATCATTGATTGTAATCGTGATTTGCATTTGTATGTTGTAGTTACTGTCCTAAGGACAATAGCTCATTGGTTGGCGACCATTAGAACAGGTAAACTTGCAACTAAATAGAGCTTTTACACTAAATTTGGTGCTTCTCTTTGCTAACCAGGAGGAGACACTAGATCTATACACATCTATTTAAACAGTTACGTAGCTTAACTTTTTACCAGATGATGATTACGTTGTGATTTGCATCAAGCTCTGTTTGGATGAAAATTCAAACAATAAAAATATAGAAAAACAGCGATTTTTTGGTCATTAAATAAAACTACCTTAAAGGTGCTAGATACGTAAAAAAAAGTTGATCAAAACATGTTTTGCATTCAAAACTAACTGTTTTATTAAACAAAGGAAGTACTATCTGTAGTTAGTGAACTGAATTTATTGTTTCTAGTCACGGTGTCCTTCAAGATTTTAGAACTAGTAGATCTCGTCCTCTCGTACATGGTTTTTATTCAGAGATTGGAAGAGGAAAATGAACTTTCCTGCTTTTTCACTGCCCCCAATTGGTTTCTTAACTTTGAATGAACCGAACTAGTTGAATAAACTGAAACGGAGAAAATGATCTGTCTACACCTGCAGAGGTGGCTACTGCTGTCAAAAGCTGGGTTAGCCCTTCAACAAACTCTAGTTCCAGGTGCTTAGCCAGTGACTTCCACCAGCTGAGTGGTGTGACGTTCTTTAAAACTTGGCAGGAAACAGGGGCTGCTTAATATTACTTTTTTGCATTTAATTTAAATGGTTTTAATAGATTAGAATAAGGTTAGGTCTTAAATTGCCAATTTCAAATTTAATTTTAAATACATTTTTATTTAAAAAAATAAACCTGTATTTAATTTAAAATTTAAAAAATAGATTTTTTTTAAATTAACCCCCCCCACCCCACAATAGATTTTTTATCTTCCCTGCACCGCACTCTGCTTCCCCTGCAGAAGGCACCATAACCTAGAGCAGCCTGAGGCACATCTGCTCCCCATGTCAGCATGGATCAGCTGCATCGGCTCTTTTCTGAGGGTGGGTGGCATGGGACGGATGTTGTGTGGCAGCCTGGGTAGCGAGGGTCAGCAGCACGCAGGGCAACGTGCTGCCCAGCTGGGATGCAGCCAGTGGGAGCCGCGCTGGGAAATGGCCACCCGGCTGGAAGGGACACCCCGAAGCGCTGGCCCTGGAGGGTCACTGACCCAGCTCTCTCCGGGCTGCCGCACGAGATCCAGGTTCGATTCCTGCTCTGTCACTCCCAGCGCTGGGTGCAGGCAGCACGGATCCCCAGGGGAAGGGGCTCTCTGCTCCAGCACCCCACGCTGCATGATGCAGCATCTGCTTTGTGCCCAGTCCCAGCCTATGCCGTGGGGGCCCTCAGGAGGGGAAATCCCCGGACTCCCACTGTCCCCGCTGCCCTGGACAGGCAGAAAGCCCATCGAGCCTTACCTTGGTCTGGAAGCAGAAGATGGTGACAATTATGGCCACTTTGGCAGTGATCACCATGGCGATCAGGACTGCCATGGTGTCATACGTGCTGCACACAAAGGGTTAAAAGTGTGTGGGGGGGGGGAGGTTTAAAAGCCATTCAATTATTTCCCACTTCACCCTCCGCATGCAACAGGGAGCTAAGAACCGGGGCTCGCTCCCCAGCAGTGCGATCCCATGGGCTCGGTGTTCGGCGGGTGATCCAACCCGGCACCCATGGGCCCTATAGCAAAGCCATCACAGGCAGCCTGCAGTTCTGTGACTCGCCCCCAGGAGGCGCCTGTTTCAGTCCAGGCTCCAGGGCGACTCCTTCAACCTGAGCTAAGCCAGGAGGATCCCTGAAGTTGGAACCATGGTGGAGCTGGCTTTCCTCTCCGTCCGAGCCCACTTCCCCCGCAGGGCTAGTGACCCAGACACGACAGGGCCGGGACGGTGCGTGGAGACCTGCAGCCGACACCGGACATCTCTATTCTCCCTGTCTGCACTGCAAAAGACATTACCAAATACACCCACCTTGTCTCTCTAATTACCAGATAGAGTCAGCAGAAGGGGGAGAGGGCCAGGAGACATATTCAGTTTGCCCCAGTTTCAGCAGCCCTAGGCGTTGGCAATGACATGGCCAAACAGATTGGTGGTGATGGCTCAGCCCGGCTGTACCCCGTTCCAGGGACAGATCCTCCCGCTATTCTAGGGACCCACCCAAGATCCGAGATGACCAGGGCGAGTTGCTGATTGTCAAAGGGGAATTAAAAAGCTTTCCCCTCCCCCTCCTTTAAAACGATTCCAAATCCAAACTCGGCTCCACATGCCAACAAAGACGTGATCGGTAGCTTCACACAAAATCTTTCCCCGTTATCTGCCAAGCCCTGCGCGAGGGGATCTGCTGCCGAGAGTCAGCGATGTAGCTACGACAGGACGGGGGGACATCTGGTGGCAGGGAAGGCAGGAAGCACTGCTCCTTCCATTAGAGAACCGTCAGCCTGGAAGGGACCGTGAGAGGCCACCTAGTCCATCCCTGCGCTGAGGCAGGGCCAAGTAAACCCAGACCATCCCTGACAGGCGTTTGTCCGACCTGTTTTTAAAAACCTCCAATGATGGGGATCTCACTGTCTCCTTAGGCCACCTGTCACAGGGCTTAACTAGCCGTCCAGTTAGAAAGCTTTTCCTAAATCTCTCCTGCTGCAAGCACTGCTCCTTCCATTAGAGAACCGTCAGCCTGGAAGGGACCGTGAGAGGTCACCTAGTCCATCCCTGCGCTGAGGCAGGGCCAAGTAAACCCAGACCATCCCTGACAGGCGTTTGTCCGACCTGTTTTTAAAAACCTCCAATGATGGGGATCTCACTGTCTCCTTAGGCCACCTGTCACAGGGCTTAACTAGCCGTCCAGTTAGAAAGCTTTTCCTAAATCTCCCCTGCTGCAGATTAAATAGATTCCTTCTTGTCCTACTCTCAGTGGACATGAAGAATTGATCACTGTTCTCTTTATAACAGCCCTTAACATAGGTGAAGACCTATTATGCCCTGCCGCAGCCTTCTCATCTCTAGACTAAACATGCCCAATTCTTTCAACTTTTCCTCCCAGGTCAGGTTTTCTAAACCTCTTGTTTTTGTTGCTCTTCTCTGGACTGTCTCCTGTTTGTTCACACCTTTCTTAAAGTGCGGTGCTCAGACCTGGACGCAGCATTCCAGCTGAGGCCTACCAAGCGCTGAGCAGAGTCAGACCCGTGTCTTACATACGACACCCCTGTTAATACGCCCCAGAACGAGTTTTGCCTTTTTCACATCATAAAGACTCTTTCAATTTGTGATCCACTAGAGCCCTCAGATCCTTTTCAGCAGCACAACCATCTAGCCGTTATTCCCCGCCTTCTGGAACAAAGAGTTGCTCCCGGCCAATTCTAAGAACCGACTGGACAGTCAATGTCCTGCCGTATTGTTGTTCCAAGAGATGTCGGGATAGGTAAAGTCCCCTGTTATCACCACGGCCTGGGCTTGGGATATGTCTTTGTTGTAAAAATGTATCATCTACCTCCTCCTTCTGATTTAAGGGCCTGTAGTAGACCCCTCCTTTGACGTCACCCTTGTTTTTCCCCCTGGCAGCTTCCCCCAGAGACTTTCAACGGGAATGCCTCTCACCTCCTCCTTCTGGACCTCAGAACTAGTGTGTACATTCTTACTATACAAAGCAACACCTCTGCCCTTTTTTCCCTGCTGGCCTTCCTGAACAAGAGGTCCCTTCTACCAATATTCCCACCATATTATTTATCCCCCCAAGACTCTGGGGTACCCATTCAGTCATAATTCTGTACGTGTGCACAGACTTTCAGGTCTGCCTCTTGATTCGCCATACCTTTTGCATTAGTGTACAGACAGCTAAGATGTGTGGCAGATTATCCCACGGTTTTCCCTCTTGCTTCTCCGATGGCCCTCTTGCAACTTCCCATATCCACCCCCAGATTCCAGCCTTTTGTCCAGGTCACCCGGTAGGAAGGTAAATCAGGGGTTTTCGAGGGGAGACACTGAGCTGGGGTCTTGGCAGGTAACAGAGGAAAAACCTGATTTGATCTGGATCTTTGTGATCAATGGCAAGTCTGCAGATGGGGCTGTTCTGGGATTGGCTTCCAAGAGCCTTTCTGAGACTCATTTACTACCAAAAACGTCTCTGTTCATTTTTAAGCGAGGGGGGTTGTCTCTATTCACAGTGATGTTAGTAGCCTGCTGGGAGTGTGCTTCACACCTCCCCCCTGCTGACAACAGGCGAACTCGGGGAAGGCAGAGGAGGGAAGGGGCTCAGAGGGGCTTTCCCCAGCTCCGCGGTACCTGGCGATGGTTCCCGTCATGAAGGCCATGGCCAGCGTCTGCAGCAAACGAAAGGAAAGGGGGCGATTAGCTGTGGAGCCAGCCGCAGCGCGGGATCAAAGCATCGCGTCGGCTTCCCAGGTCCCCGCCGAGACGTGGGGATTCACAGCAGGAGGCACGGAGGGGCATGTGGCCTGAGGGGGGTGTTTCAGGCAAAGGTGTGATCCTGAGGGATCACAGGAGGGGGGGGCCCATGGCATCACACCCCCCCCCTATTTCTACCCCCATGCATGTGACCCCAGGCCCAATTGTAACCAGTGTTCAGCCATCAAAGCCTTCCCTTCGTTCCATCCCACACCCCTCCCAAAGCCCCCCCCACCCTGGGGCTGGGCCCCCTCCCAGGATCACTGCCCCCCCCCCCGCTATACAACCCAGTCCCACAGCCCCACTTACAAAGATGGTGAGCAGGATGAGGTTACAGGGGAAGCATCTCCTGGGGGAAGTCAGGGAACACACAGGTCAGGGTGCAGGCAGTCAGAGCCCAGGGCGCTGCAGGCTGGGGGCGGGGGTCACGCAGTGGGGGTCGGGGTTTCTGGGGTGAGCGCAGCGTGATGTCGCCTGGGGCGAGGGCACCGCTTTGGCCCAATGAGACTGCAGGCCACAGGGTGTCCCCGTGAAAACCGGCCCCCGCGTCAGGGCAGGCTGCGGCCCGGATGGACGGGAATCGACCCTGGGGGGCAGCATCGTCTCATCGCCCCTTGGGGATGGAGACAGAGCCCATTCTGGCCTCGGCCCCCTGCCTCAGTCACTCCCCCGCGACCTGCTTCCTAGTGCCCAGGGGACTCGGAGCTGGGGCGCGGGCTCGGAGGGAGGGGCCGCCCTCTCTGATCCCCAGTGAAGGAGACACTCACCTGGGGCCCGGGCAGCAGGCCAGCACCAGGTAGCTGACCAGGAACACAGCGCTGGGGAGGGAGAGAGACAGAAGTTTGAACTCTTCCCAGCCCTGCTGCCCACCCGGAGCCGGGGCCGGTCGGAGCCGCGTGCAGGGCAGCAGAAGGGCCGAGGTTTCACACCCACAGAGTCAGGCCTTTCCAATTCCCGGCGCCTCCAGCAACTAGCTCTGCCCTGCTGGCCTTGTGCCGTGTGTGGCCCTTTACCTCCACCTGGGGATCTCAAAGCACCCGACAAACATTCCTCACATTTCCCTTCGCGCCTCGGGAGTAGGGACGTGTTATCTCCATGGCACAGAGCGGAAACCGAGGCACAGAGCAGCGGCTGAGCTCACACGATAGCTCAGAGTCATTCCAGTCAACGAATACCCCAGGTTTTTCTCCTCCTCTGCCGTTCCCGACTGAGGAGCCCCCAGTTTATAGCAGAAATTCTTATTATTCTCTAAACGCATGACCCATTTCTATTCTCCAGTCTGTTGGCCATCCAGTGCTTCCTGGATGATATTCCGATCCTCCTCTGCACTGACGATGCCTCCCAGCGTTGTGTCCCCAGCAAATTTCATAAGCACACCTACATTTTCTGCCAAAGCCGCCAACGAAAATATTAAGTTAGACTGATTCCAAGACCAATCACTGAGGAATACCACTAGTCACCTCCCTCTGGCCTTTCAGCATAACCCATTATCAGCTGCTACGTAGCCAGTTCCTTAGCTGCCTTCCAATTCCTGTACTAGTCCTCCCGGTCTCATCTTCACTGATGATTTCCCACATGGTCCTGTACCGAATGCTTCACTGAAATCCAGATAGACAGATCTACCACATTTCCCTGTCTAGAGAATCAGTTAAGAGACCAGGTTCACCGTGGTGAGCCCACTGCACTTTATCCCATTTACCTCTGATAAGTCTTTCCTTCAAAATTTGTTCTCAAGCCTTGTCTACAATTGAGCTCAGACTCATGGGTCCATGGTTGTCTGAATCACTTTTTCCCTCTCTTATTCTCCAGTCATATGGTACACCCCCAATTTGACATATTGATTAAAAATCCTTGAGGGTGGACCTGCAATTTCATAACCTTCCTTGATACAGTGACGTCCTCAGCTGTATTAGCAGAGTTTTTTGCATTTGATTTCCTAGTTTTTTTCCATAGAGAAAGTGATTAACTGCCCCTCTCCCTCCCCGTGCCACCAGGGGCTGGAGGCGGCGCCCACACAGCGCCCTCTGCCTCTGGCGTGGGGCACCAGCACCTCGTGGCACTCAGCAGGGAGCGCACTGACCGAGCGGTGGCGACTCTGCCAGCTCTCACAGGGTGGCACAGGAACCCAGCCAAAGGGCAGCTGGGCCCGGGATGAGCAGGGAGGGGAGTTGGCAAAGTTGGCAGAGTGATACTTACTAAGAGGAGTAGTACACAATAACGTTCCCCTGCACAAAGGTGCGGACGGGGGAGCTGCGAAGAGGGAGAAGAGCGTGAGATCGGTTCCTGGCTCCACCCGTCACCACGTGGCCCCTTCTCTGCTCCCCCGTGGTCTCCACCCCCACAGTGTTCACAGCGCGGGCCCCAGCGAGCAGCAGAGTGACCCAAGGGAAAGCTTGGAAGTGAGATGCTCCCTGCTCGTCATCACCCCCAAGCCGTTGCCTGCCCCCCACATAGCGCAGACCCGCTGTGGGGTCCCCAGCCCAGGAGCAAGGACAGGGCTTTAACCCTGCCCTGCTCTGTGCTCAGCTCCCCAGACAGACCCGCCAGGATCCATCCGGACTCCTGCCAGGGCAGGGCAGGGTCACCCCGCACAGCCCATCCCACAGGGCTGCACCCAGCCTGGCTTTAAACAGCCCCAGGGTGGGGCTCCCCATCCCTTGTGAGACAGTGCTCATCTCCTCCATCCCGGAGGCAAGGCTCTGGCTCCTCCCTTCAGTGGGGGGATGGGGCATTGGGGGCAGACGCCTTTGTTCCTCCGGAGAGTCCCTGGGATGTCCCAGCTCCTGGGGCCCCGTGGAGCAGGGACCAGCCCCTGGGACAGCAGCAGCTGGCGGCAAGGGCAGGGCTCAGGACAAGGTGAGACTCACACAAAGGTGAACACGGCGATGATGCCCACGGTCACCAGCAGCTGGATTGAGATGATGGTGTAGACCTGAAAGAGGCAAGCACAGAAGGGTCACCCATGGGCACCTGCCCTGCTCCCCCACAGGGCACAGGCAGGCACAGAGGGGTCACCCACGGGCACCGGCCCTGCTCCCCCGTGGGGCACAGGCAGGCACAGAGGGGTCACCCACGGGCAAAGGACCTCCTCCCCTGCAGGACAAAGCAGTCAGGAGGGGTCACCCATGGGCACCTGCCCTGCTCCCCCACAGGGCACAGGCAGGCACAGAGGGGTTACTCACAGGGCACCAGCCCAGCTCCCTGCACAGACACGCCAAGGCGGCCCCGAGGTGTCACTGCCCCCAGCTGCCCAGCACCCCAGGTGCGATGGAGCCGCTGGCTCTCAGTCCCGCTCCTGATGGACTCGGAGCTAGCCCCTGCCATGCCCCAAATGGCAGCTGGGCAGGGTGCCAGGGACTGGGTGGGCCATGGAGATTGAGTCCCTTCTCGTCCCGAGGGTGGGCAGCTCCTACCAAGGCTCCCATCCAACGGGCTCCAGGTGTCCTGTTAGCCCGGACAGCGTGGGGAGGGGCTCTGTAGCCCAGGCCACTCCAGCCCCCGCCAGCACTAGGGGGGCCCTGCAGCCACGGGAGCCTGACGCTGCCCGTAGCTGCTGGCCTCGCCACACAGACACAGGCCCCCGGCCCCGCACTGGTACCCAGGCTCACCCTGCCGGCCGCAGCCTGTTCCTGGGGGCCAGAGTCTGGAGGAGGACACCCCCTTCCCACCCATCTCCCCGGCTCCTGCACCCTGCACCCCTGGGGGCCAGGCAGCCTGGCTCCTTCTGGAGTTACCTTGCGGATGAAGGCGTGTCGCACTCTCTTGTCGTCCCAGTCAATCGTCCTGACGACGTCATCCCCCAAGCTGGTGAGGATGCAGATGTTCCCTGTGGGGAGACCAGTGGGGAGAACGGAAGGGGAACCAAGAACCTTCAGCGCCTGAACACTGGCATTGCTTGGGGGCATCGGCTCTCCTGGGCCCCTGCTGACTTGTCATGTGTCGGGGGCTGCCCCGCCCGAGCGTCAGGTCCCTCCCCAACCGTCTCTCCCCACGAGCGGGCTGCCCTGCGGGACGTCCCAGCCCAACGGCCCCTTGGCACCAGCAAGTGTCTCGCTGGCAGCATGGCCGAGAGGGCCGGGCCCAGACAGGAGACGCCGGCCTGGTACCCGGCAGGGTGAGGCCAGGGGTGCACACGGCACAAGGCTCAGGGAAGTAACCATCCCCGCTCTCTAGCGGCACCGTCTCCTTCCCCCCTCCCGCCCCCGGGCTCGGCCCATCAGTTGAGTGTTTCCGAGTGCCCTCCCCTCCTCCATCAGACCCCACTCCTTCTGGCCGGGACCATTTCTGTGCAGCCACATACGGGGCCAGGCTGTGGCTGCCCCTGTCACCGCAGGGCTCAGCCAGGGCCCTCGGGTGGGGGAGAGGAATGGAACAGATTGTTCTCTGCACAGCGGCCATTGTCCCCTGGATTATCCCCCAGCAGCTTGGGGGTGTTTCCCCAATTCCCTCTCCCAAACCCTGCAGTTTCAGAGGCTGCCCCACGGTCTTGCCAGCTCCCAAATCCACGGGTCGAGGTGATCTGATCCCACTGCAGCTGGCTGTCGGGCCTGGCTGGTGCCAAGTTCAGCCCAGCTTTTACACCTGGAGGAATTCTGCGCCATTGCTCGTGCGCAGCATTCATGTCCCCTGCAGATTTCTTTTTTCTCCCCAGAAAACACTGCCAGAGAGGCCCTGCAGTTATGCCTTTCGCCCACTAGGGGCTGCTGTGGCAGCAGAACAAAGGGCATCTGGCTCACCAGCTGTAGCAGTCAATAGCCGATAGGGAGGAGAGGCCACGTTCCTTATAGCGCCCTGCCCGTAGGGCCAGGTGAATAGGCACAGGATGTGGGTGGGACACAGACAGAGCGGGGCACACAGGGATGCTGGGGGATCACACAGACTGGGGTTCAGAAGGGCTAGTCGAGGGGGACAGACTCGGGCAGGGGCTGAATGGAAGTGAGGGTGCAGGAACACATGGAGACAGAGGTGCAGGGGTGCAGGGACACATGGGGACTGGGTAGATGCACCTGACTGAATGGGAGAGGTTAGGGGTCAGGCAGGGTCTGCATGGGGGAGGTTCCCCAACTCCCTAACAATCCCCCCCCCCCAAAAAAAACTGCCTATACTTCTCCAACCCACACCCAACAACCCTCCAAGTTCACTCCCAGGCTCCTTCCCTCTCCCTCAGCCCCTCCATTACTCCTGACTCCCCCAAGCCTTTGCACTGCTTCTGAGGGGAGCAGGAAATATGGTTCTGTATTATAGTTTAAATGAATTATTACTCAGAATTCTGTATTAATAAGCCTAGGAAGGAATCTATTTGTCAAAAAATATTTCTTGAATCTTTTTTGTCATCTGTATTGTTACACACATACTTGTGGACAGGTATTTTGAAATAAATTACCGAAATAATTGAAATTGGCATGGATTGTACTGTGTTATATTGACAAATAAAATATACAGAATTTTAAAATACCGGGCACAGAATTTTTAATATTTTGGCTCAGAATTCCCCCAGGAGTAAGCTTTGATGTGACAGGACTGAAGATTGGAATGTTTTGCCTTTTACTGGGACATCTCCCCTCTATCAAATCTGGGGGGAGTGACATATCGGAGCCCATCCGTCCCAGGGGGTCAAAGAAATCCCTTCCTAACCCCCCACTCACACCAGGCCCCGCAGAGCCCGAGTCACCATATCCATTACCCTGCCCTTCCAGAGACCCCTTCCCCTCACCCCACCATCTCCTCTGCCTTGCACTCCTCAAGTCCCACATGGGCACTGCTACCCTGATGGCACGTCTGGCCCCGTCCCCTGAGAGCAGAATCCAGCCCATTGTTACTCTCTTTGCCCCGGTCCCTGGGGTGACCTGCTTCTGTGCAGAACGGGACCAAGAGCAACTGGAACCAGGGGTGGACCCTTCTCTCTTTCAGCACGTTGATGGCCCAGTGGGTTTACTCTAATCTCAGAAGCAGTAAGCTGGTCTCTGGGGATGGGGCCAGATGGGCCATCAGTGGGTTTCTGCACCGTGCCCCCTATTGTGAATGCTCAGCTTACCTTGGTTCATCGGGAGTGTTGATATGAGCGGTACCAGAACATCTGGGTGGGGATATCCTCCTGGCTGAGGGTAGCCCCCAGGATACCCCCCAGGCTGCGGGTAGCTCCCGGGATAGGGTACAGGTTGCGGGTAGCCCCCGGGATAGGCTCCGGGCTGCGGATGGCCCCCAGGCTGCGGGGGGTAGAGGGGATTCTTGTCATCGTAGGGCGGGGGAGCCCTGGGGTACGACATGGGGACTCCCAAAGGCTCAGGCTGGCTCTCAAGCACCTGGAGATAGAGGGAGAGAAAAATCTTCCATTATTGTCTGCGCAGTTCATGGACCCTTAGCCAAAACTCACGACGCTGGGCCACGGCAGCTCTGTGCACCGGAGTCCAGCTCGGGGCAGACCCACTGGCCAGAGCCCTCCTCCCAAGATGGTCAGCGTGATATTTCTGGCTGGTCAATAAAGACTATTACTGACCTCAAAAGAGACCCAGCGCAAGGCAGATCCTGGTAACCAAAGAGTCAGTTCAGTGGGTGGGTCTTAAATGCCAACAATCATCTAAGTAATTTTGGCCCCAGGGCCCCAGGCAGCAAATCGCTCTCCCCAAGTCCTTCCGGGGTCCAGATCAAGTGATCTCTCCATGCAGCGCCGGGGCAGCAATTCTGTGACATCCCAGCCAGCGAGCCAGGGTTGGGAGAGACAGGGCCATGGAGCCAGCTCACAGGAACCCTGGCACCAATGGCCCCAAATCCCTTCTACTGGCTTCGTGTCACAAGAGGCCAGGAGCCCTTTAAACCCTCCTCACTGCAGCCGGACACAGACAGGAGCCTGACACAGAGGTGGCATTTTTGACAGGGGCCCAATCCTGCTGCCATTAAAATCCAGGGGAGTCGGGCCAGAGATCAAACAGGAGCCGGATCGGGCTATGCCCTAAGCTGGAACCCCAGCTGGTACATTTCAGCACCCTCAGACAATGGCGGTGTCATTTGACTGCATTCAAGGGGAATTTCACCTGCCCAGAGATCACGCTACGGTTCTTCCTATATTTCATCGCACTTTGTTGCAAAGGGGGTCACACCCTGACAAGAGTCAGGTCAGGCCAGAAAGAGGCAACAGCCCCTGATCAGTCACGGAGCAGCCAAATGGTTGGCCAGTGACAGAGGCCACGGACTTTTGGGTCACAGATTCTGGTCACGTTTGAGAGGCGGGTTCTACGTATACAGGGCTGGTAGATGATCGGTCAATTGTTACAGACTCCAGTGGGTCAATAGGTTGCTTATCTCCCATCTGCAGCACCTTCTACCGCGGGGCTTGAAACATCTGCAGCCGATGCCACTCACATGGCAGCCTCTGTTCCTTATATACTAACCCGTTATAAGTGGAACCTGATGTGACGAAGTGACTCAGCAGGGAGGGGGGAGTGTTGACCTGGGAATGTGCCCTGGGGATGGGAGACCTGAGAGCCTGTCACCTGAGCCAGGAGGGGGAGGGGGAGGTAACACCTCTGCCCAGGAATGTGAACAGAGGCTGCAGCAGGGAACCTGCTGGGTGGGGTTAGTTGGCAGTTTGGGAGGCTGGGGAGAGGAACACAGGGAACCCCAGGGCTGGGGTCTAAGCTCCCTGCTCCCCCAGAAGGACGTGATCGAGGGGTCCTGGTTGTACCCACAAGCTCTGTTGTGGACTGTGTTCCTGTTGTCCAATAAACCTTCTGTTTTACTGGCTGGCTGAGAGTCTCAGTGGATCCCAGGAAGAGGGGTGCAGGGCCTGGACTCCCCCACACTCCGCGACAACTGGTGGCAGCGGTGGGATCTACTGCACCCCGTGAACGGCGCTTCCTGCAGTAAGTGACTGGGGAACAGTAAAACGAAGGGGAATTGACGGGGACCAGGCGTGCTGAAGATTCAGAGAGAGACGGTTTCGGGGGGCGGCTAACCCCTGGGAATGTGTGACCAGAGAGAAAGACTTTTGCAGTAACAGGGTCCCCCGGGGATTGCAGCGAGCGGTCCCAGGGGCGGAGGAGTCTGCAGCTCGACCCTGGCAAAGAGGTGGTGACCTCAAGAAGGACTGGCACACTAAGGGCTTTTCCTGGAAACCGTGGGAAGCTGCCCGGCCTGCGAGTGGCCAGCAGGGAGATGTACGCTAAACGCCTTAAGAGTGACCTGGTGGAGCTGTGCAGGCAGAGGGGGCTGCGCATCGGGAGGTCCACCAAGGAACAACTGATTGCCCAGTTGGAGGAGAGGGATCGCTTGGATGACCCGATCCCTGTCCCTGAGGGGAGCCGCCCGGCAGACGCAGCGTGGGCCCCGGGGCCTGACCGGGCTGGGAGGGGTCAGACTGCTGCCGAGGACATCCCGAGACCCTTCCTACCTATGCCTGGGGGAGGGGTTGGGGGAAGCCCAGCGAATACCGAGGGCACCCTGACCCCAGCACCCAGCAGGGGATCCTCCCGGCGGAGCTCCCCATCCCTGGAGCGGAGGCGGCTGGAATGGGAGAGGGAGATGAAAATGAGGGAGCTGGAGGATCATGAAAAACAACGTCAACATGAGGAGAAACAACGTCAACATGAGCAGGAGGAGAAGGAGAAACAACGTCAACATGAGCAGGAGGAGAAGGAGAGGGAACGTCAGGAGAAGGAGAGGGAGCGTCAGGAGAAGGAGAGGGAGCGTCAGGAGAAGGAGAAACAAAGACAGCATGAACTGGAGCTGGCCAGGCTGAAGAGCAGTGGGGCCCCGGCTGTGGTGAATGAGGGGGGACCCAAGACTGCAAGGAACTTTGATAAGTGCTTCCTGGCCCAGCGGAAGGAGGGGGAGGACATAGATAGCTTCCTGACGGCCTTTGAGAATGCCTGTGAGCTGCACAGGGTTGACCCTGCAGACAGGCTCCAGTTTCTCACCCCCTTACTGGACCCCAAAGCCGTGGAGGTGTACAGCCGGATGACAGGGCCGGAGGCAGGGGACTATGAACTGTTCAAACAGGCCCTGCTCCGTGAGTTTGGGCTGACCCCCGAGATGTACCGGAGAAGGTTCCGGAGTCAGCGTAAAACGCCTGAGGTCACCTACCTACAACTGGCCAACCGGATGCAGGGGTATGCCCGCAAGTGGACAGCTGGGGCCCGAGCTAAAGAGGACCTGCTTGACCTAATTGTACTGGAGCAGCTGTATGAACAGTGCCCTTCCGACCTGAGGCTGTGGTTGGTGGACAAAAAGCTCGAGAACCCCCAGCACGCAGGGCAGCTGGCCGACGAGTTTGTGAACAGTCGGTCAGGGGGTAGCCGGGAGGAGTCCCAAAAGAACAGGCCCCCCCCGATGCAGAGAGAGAGTCACCAGGGGGCCTCCCCAGCGGGGAAATAGGGAGAACCCCCTCCCAAGGGGAACGCCTGGCGTCGGGCCCCTCCGACCCGCTCGAGGGGACCAACGTGACCTGAGCTGCTATCACTGTGGCCAGAGAGGCCACATACGGTCCCAGTGCCCTGGGCTCAGGGACAAACTGAGCAGACCCAACCTACCCAGGGTTAATTGGGTAGGGACCCAGCTGGACGAGGGGCAGACGACCCAGGAAAGGGGGCCTACCAGTTTACCACCTGCTCAGGAGGGAAGAGTACCCCAGGCCAGCTCCACCAGAGGGCTGGAGGCTCTGGACTCAGGGCGCTCAGTTTACAGGGTGGGCGCGGGGCTGTCCCTCCGGAGAGAGTGCCTTGTTCCCCTGGAGGTGGATGGGAGGAAGGTCAATGGATACTGGGATACGGGCGCGGAGGTGACGCTGGCCCGGCCCGAGGTGGTGGCCCCAGATCGGGTGGTGCCCAACACCTACCTGACCCTGACAGGGGTGGGCGGGACCCCATTTAAGGTGCCCGTGGCAAGGGTACACCTGAAATGGGGGGCCAAGGAGGGCCCCAAGGATGTGGGGGTACACCACCATTTGCCCACTGAAGTTTTGATGGGGGGAGACCTAGAGGACTGGCCAAGCAAGCCCCAGACCGCCCTGGTTGTGACCCGTAGCCAGAGCCGGCGAGGGGCACTGCTCCCTGACCTCGGGGAGGGTACCGCACCGGAGGCGCAGGACCCTACCCTGGTGGGAAGGGAGGGCCGAGGGGCATGGCTCAGAGAGGCTGAGGCCTCAGACCTGGCCACTGAGGGGGAACCGGTCCCCATCCCTTCCCCAGCCGCTGAGTTCCAGGCCGAGTTGAGGAAAGATCCCTCCTTGCGGAAGCTCAGGGACCTGGCCGACCTCGGTGTGGTAGGGACCATGAGGAGAGGCTGCCAGGAGAGGTTCCTGTGGGAGAAGGGGTTCCTGTACCGAGAATGGGCTCCCACAAGGGAAGTGGAGTCCTGTGGGATCAGGAGGCAGCTGGTGGTCCCCCAGAAGTATCGCCGCAAGCTCCTGTCCCTGGCCCATGACATCCCCCTCGCAGGGCACCAGGGAATCCGGCGCACCCGGCAGAGGTTGCTACAGAACTTTTACTGGCCCGGGGTCTTTACCACGGTCCGGCAGTATTGCCGATCCTGTGACCCCTGTCAGAGGGTGGGGAAGGCCCGGGACAAGGGGAAAGCGGCTTTGAGACCTTTGCCCATCATAGAGGAGCCTTTCCAGAAGGTGGCCATGGACATCGTGGGGCCTCTCAGCAAGACGACCCGGTCTGGGAAGAAATACATTCTGGTGGTGGTAGATTTTGCCACCCGCTACCCCGAGGCAGTGCCCTTAGCTTCCATTGAAGCAGACACCGTGGCCGATGCGCTCCTGACCATTTTCAGCCGAGTGGGGTTCCCCAAGGAAGTCTTGACAGACCAAGGCTCCAACTTCATGTCGGCCCTGCTCCGGTGCTTGTGGGAGAAATGTGGGGTCCGGCACGACTGGGCCTCAGCTTATCACCCCCAGTCCAACGGGCTGGTGGAGAGGTTTAACGGGACGCTAAAGATGATGCTGAAAACCTTTATGAACCAGCACCCGCAGGATTGGGACAAGTACTTACCTCACCTGCTGTTCGCGTACAGGGAGGTGCCCCAGGAGTCTACCGGATTTTCGCCTTTCGAACTGTTATATGGAAGGAGGGTGAGGGGCCCCCTGGACCTGATGAGAGACGAGTGGGAGGGGGAAGGCCACTCCCGATGGAGAGTCAGTGGTGGAGTATGTCCTGATCTTCCGAGAGAGACTGGCTGAACTCATGGGCCTGGCCAGGGAGAATCTGGCCAGAGCCCAGAAGAAGCAGAAGGTCTGGTATGACCGCACGGCAAGGGCCCGTGCCTACGCCACCGGGGATCCGGTGATGGTTCTCATCCCTGTGAGAAAGAACAAACTACAGGCTGCCTGGGAGGGCCCTTTCAAGGTCGTCAAGCAGCTCAATGAGGTAAACTATGTGGTGGAGCTGTCGAACCGGGCGCACCACCGCCGGGTGTACCATGTGAATATGATGAAGCCATATTATGCCAGGGGGAATGTGGTGTTGGCCGTGTGTGGACAGTGGGAAGAGCAGGGAGATGACCCTTTAGTAGATCTATTCCCTGGGACCAGAGCTGGTTCCCCCTGGAAACAATCCCCTTCTCGGATCAGCTAACCCCTGCCCAGCAAGCTGAGGTCAGGGGGTGCTGCATCCGTACAGACAGCTGTTTTCCAACCAGCCTGGACGCACTAATCTGACTGTCCACCGGGTGCAGACAGGGTCGCACCCGCCGATAAGATGCTCCCCCTTCCGAGTCACAGGGAAAACTGCTCAGGACCTGGAAAGAGAGGTCCGGGACATGCTGGCTTTGGGGGTGATCCAGCCATCTGCCAGCCCTTGGGCCTCGCCGGTGGTGCTGGTCCCCAAAAAGGACGGGTCGGTCCGGTTCTGCGTGGACTATCGGAAGCTCAATGCCATCACTGTATCTGATGCCTACCCCATGCCCAGGCCGGACGAGCTCCTAGACAAACTGGGAGGAGCTCGGTACCTTACCACCATGGACCTTACAAAGGGCTACTGGCAAGTGCCGCTGGATGCAGATGCCCGACTGAAATCGGCCTTTATCACCCCTCTGGGGCTCTATGAGTTCCTGACCCTGCCTTTCGGCCTCAAGGGAGCGCCGGCCACCTTCCAACGCCTGGTGGACCAGCTCCTGAGGGGGATGGAGAGTTTTGCCGTGGCGTATATTGATGACATCTGTGTCTTTAGCCAGACCTGGGAGGACCACGTGTCCCAAGTTAGACAAGTGCTGGACCGACTCCAGGGGGCTGGGCTGACTGTAAAAGCGGAGAAGTGCAAGGTGGGGATGGCGGAAGTGTCTTACCTGGGCCATCGGGTGGGGAGCGGCCGCCTAAAGCCGGAACCAGCCAAGGTGGAGGTGATCAGAGACTGGCCCGCTCCCCACACCAAAAAGCAGGTCCAAGCCTTTATTGGGATGGCAGGATACTACCGAAGATTTGTGCCCCACTTTAGCGCCATAGCCACCCCCATCACTGAGCTATGCAAGAAGGGGAAGCCAGACAAGGTGGTCTGGACCGAGCAGTGCCAGGTGGCTTTCCGGGCGCTGAAGGAGGCTCTGGTCAGTGGCCCAGTTCTGGCGAACCCGGACTTTGACAAGGCCTTTGTGGTGTTCACCGACGCCTCCGACACGGGACTGGGGGCGGTGTTAATGCAGGAGGATGAAAAGGGGGAGAGACACCCCATCGTGTACCTGAGCAAGAAGTTGCTACCCCGGGAGCAACACTACGCGGCCATCGAGAAGGAGTGCCTGGCCATGGTGTGGGCCCTCAAGAAACTAGAGCCCTATCTCTTCGGGCGGCACTTCACCGTGTACACCGACCACTCTCCCCTGACCTGGCTGCACCAGATGAAAGGAGCCAACGCCAAGCTCCTGAGATGGAGCCTGCTCCTGCAGGATTACGACATGGACGTGGTCCACGTGAAGGGAAGTGCCAACCTGATAGCGGATGCGCTGTCCCGGAGAGGGGGCCCCGAACTTCCCCAGGTCACTGGTCACAGTGACCCCGCTCAGTTCAGTCTCGAAGGGGGGAGAGATGTGACGAAGTGACTCAGCAGGGAGGGGGGAGTGTTGACCTGGGAATGTGCCCTGGGGATGGGAGACCTGAGAGCCTGTCACCTGAGCCAGGAGGGGGAGGGGGAGGTAACACCTCTGCCCAGGAATGTGAACAGAGGCTGCAGCAGGGAACCTGCTGGGTGGGGTTAGTTGGCAGTTTGGGAGGCTGGGGAGAGGAACACAGGGAACCCCAGGGCTGGGGTCTAAGCTCCCTGCTCCCCCAGAAGGACGTGATCGAGGGGTCCTGGTTGTACCCACAAGCTCTGTTGTGGACTGTGTTCCTGTTGTCCAATAAACCTTCTGTTTTACTGGCTGGCTGAGAGTCTCAGTGGATCCCAGGAAGAGGGGTGCAGGGCCTGGACTCCCCCACACTCCGCGACACCTGAACGGGAAGCAGGACCCAGATTCCACCCCGTGACAGTCCAGGCTTCGGACACCCCCCAGTCAACCAGTGCACAGACGCTCTAGGGACTGTCGGACAATCCGGGTGTTGGATCGTCCAGGCAGTTTGCAGTGTGAAGCCTGGACGCTGGCAGACAGGGCCCCGTGTGCGACGTCAGGGGGTCTGGGACAATCCATCCAGGGGCTCTGCAGGCATGAAATGCCGAGCGGGGATCTCTGATCTGTTTCCCCAAAGACCCAAGCGCACTGTTCCAGCAGCCGTCACTCGGGCAGCGCTCACACTGGCAGCCCGAGGGCAGGATGTGGCACAGGATGGGGCCTGTGGTGAGAACTTGCATGACGAAGCTGGGCACAGCTCGCGTGGAGGGATAGCTCGTGCTGCCTGGCTCTCCCCTGCCAGCTCCCCATGCGGGCAATCTAACCCCTCCGGCAGGATCCCCAGGACCGGGCAAAACCTCTACCCGTGCCTGCCCTCATCACTACCAGAAGTGGCCTCCATCCTGCACAGGAGGTATCTTGGTTTGTTTTTTTTTTTGGGGGGGGGGGGTTGGTTGCCCATGTGCCTTTCCTGACAGTCCACGGGTGGGGGGGGGGCAATCCCTAAGAAATCCATCCTACTCCGACCAGGCCATACAGCAGCGCACAGCCCAGCACAGAGGGGACAATCAGAGACATAAAAGCAAAAGGGACGAGACACTAACAGAGAAAGAAGTGTGTGTGTGGGGGGGGACGGACTTGATTGGGAGCAGGAAGGAAAGGGTTAATCAGTAACCCCTCCCCAAGCCAATTCCACCCCGCTGTCTAAGTCTCTTACTTGTTTCTCCCCCTGGGGGCGGCAGGGGCCCTGACTCCGAGGGGGCTGGCTGGCTCCCCGGTCTGGAAAGCGCCGGGGCTCCCGGCAGATTCGGTGCTGGTCCGGTCTCACTCCGGATTCCGCTCGCTGCCTGACCCACGCAGCAGGGTGTTGGAGCACTTGGCAAGCTCCCTTCCCGAGAAAGGTGGGGACGCAGCAGAGAGTCCCGGGCGCTATGTACGCTCGCTCGCTCGCTCCCCAGACTCCTAAACCGAATCGGTTTCGTTTCAGATGGTGCCCCCGCCCCCTTCACTGGCCGAGGATGCGCTGCTCCGGTTTGTCATTGGCCCGGGGCGCTGCTCGTCCGGATCAAACCGTGTTGCAGTCGCCCTGTTAGCCCCCAGCAGCGATTGCGAGTTCGTGTCCGCAGCCCTGACTTGGCGAGCACGGTGGGATGGGGGCAGGGCACAGAGCCCGGCTGGCCAGCACCGCTGCGGCTGGGTTGCCCTCGCCCCTGAGAGCTGACGCCAAGGAGCTGGGCTGGGGGGGGGAAGGGGGCTGCACCCTGCTCCTGGCTAGGAAACTTGGTATCCCCATCGCACACTTCAGGGTGAACACAGAGTGCTGCAGAATACAACCAAGCTACGCCCCGAGCCTGCTAGCTGATCACAAACACCGCTCTCTGATTATGAGCGGTGTAAGACAGGCAATCTAACAACACAGGGAATGAACACACACAATGCAGCGTCCTGCTCAAACCTGAGGACAAGGGGAGGCTAACCGGCACCGGGCAGCCTGCTCCGGGCGCCCACCTGTTGATCACACAAAGAGGCACAGCCGAGAAGACACCCGCAGGGTGGAGGGTTACACAGATGACGGGCTTCACCTCTGGACCAGAGAGCCTGGGGGCTGATGGCCTTTCTGTAGCAGCAGGACATGTGCTCCCCACCCCAGGCTACAGGCCTTGGTCCACAACTTCTCCCTTCTCTCTGTCCACTGCTGTTGCCTCTGGATTCCTCGGTGGAATGAAGCGTCCAGGGCATCCGGGACGGACTGGTCAGGTATTGGGGGGGGGTCTTCTGGGTCTGCGGTTTCAGGCGCCCCTCGGGGCTCATCCCACCGGAACACCAAAAGAGCAATGCATTCGTAGACTAATCCTCTGCATGGGGAAACCGTGTTCGCAGTCATTGCCCGCAGTGCCAGGTTCTTCCTCTGGTGTAACTGGGGTGAGCTGTACCAGGAGACGGCTCTCGCGCCTGTGGGAGGTCTTGGGAGAGGTGTCCTTACCACAGTCGTAGTGCCGGGGACAACCTCTCCAACAGGCAATAGCTGGTGTCTGGAGAACCTTGCTCGGCCCTCCCCAGGCTGAGCTGTGTAGGCAGGAAGGCCTGGCAACATCTATGACGCAGGGTTTAGCTTTCCAAGGGTCTGCAGTCTTACGCTGTCCCTGGAGTCCAATGTTCTGTAGCAAGGTTCGGTCTCCGGGCACCGGGCTGGATCTCTCAGGCAGGTGTCGTATTTGGCTTGGTTAGACTCTGCTTTTCCTTATGGCTTCTGTTGCTTCGCTCAATCATGCTCTCAGCCGGGTGACACGCTGGAGGTCGGTTTCAGGGCAAGCGCCATCAGCAGATGCTCCAAAGCTCGCATCCACAGCCTGCCTAGCCTCTCCCCCAAACATCACATCGCAAGGGGCCTGTCCCGTGGATTCATTCCTTGTGCAAGTGGAGGCATGTACTACGAATCTGACATGCTGGCTCCATTTGGATGTTTTAATCAGGGTGCGAAGTGCCCTGTTTAACAAGGCCCGATTAAACCACTCTGGCTGACATTCTCCTGGGGGGCATTGGGAAGTGGTTTGAGATTTCCTCTCCACTGGCGATCAGCAGTAGCTCCTTGACAAGGTGGCTGTTGAAATCTCTCCCTGGAGCTGGGTGGATGCTACAGAGCAGGCCATAGTGAACGAAGCCCTTTTCCCACAATCCCTTTGCAACAGTGGTTACTCTCTGGTCCTTGGTGGGAAAGGTCTGAGATCTGTCACCATTAGTACATGTCCAGTATTGTCACCATCATTCGCCAAGCTCAGAAAGTCCATACAGACAAGATCCAGTGGTTCCACGGCTGATAATGTTGACCAAAGGGCAGATGTTCTGGGCAATGTTTTCCTCTGTATGCGCCATGAGCAAGCTTTGCAATGCTTCTCTACACCATGTGCCACATGAGGCCAATAGAATCTGGAGTTCACTAGGTCAAGTGTCTTGTCCTCTCCCAGGAGTCCCATGTCTTCATGGGAAAAAGGAAACTTCCTAAACTGATCAGGGAGCACTAACTTTCTTCAGCGCCAGGGACCCCTGACTTACGTGATGCAACAAGTTGCTTCTTTAGGTAAGTTTACTCCATTCCCATAAGCACAGAGGTGCATCTAGCTGAGAAGACTTCTCCGATAACTCTGGCCTTCCCTTTTCCAGGGCAGAAATGAAATCCCTTAAACTGCGGTCTGTACGTTCTAATTTGTTCTGCTGTGGTAGAAAAGTCACATCCGAATTGGTGAAGCAGGTATGGGAGGTGAAGATCGCTTCTGGAGGGGCTCCCAACTGGTCCACCACCCTCTCTGGGTTGACAGCTGTTTGTTGGATCCCATGGATGGCACATAGCTTTTACCCCAGGTGCAGGAATAGTCTTCCAGGAGTCAGGTACATGGGTCCTGTCCTGGTGGAGGGCATCAAGACAGACGTTGGAGACCAAGAATCATTAAGATCCTGAGTATAGAGCATCCGTCAAAATGCAATGCGCAAAACTACGGATGACGCTTTTTAAAAAAATGATTCACAAGCACAATGGGGGACTTTGAGTAGTTTGGAAGTTTCTTGAAAACCCATTTTTGAAGAAAATGAAGAAATAGTGACATTTTACTGTCACGGTGCTCTTTAATTCCCCCCCCCCGCCCCCCGCATAAGATTAAAGGTTTTGGTGATACAGATATACTGAATGGTGACACAAATATAAAGATGAAGAATTGCTAAATGGTAACTTAAGGGCTTTGGTAGTTACACTTGTATAATTGATCATTATGGATAGTGAATGAGTTTGGATGAGGTGACATTTAGGCCAGGGCCTTAGCCCAACTTTGGCTGGCGTGAGTGTTGTTTTGCCAATTTTTCTCTCTTATACTGGTTTGCTGAAATGTTACTGCTCCGTCAAAAACCATATCTTCCATATCTTCATTAATGATCTGGAGGATGGTGTGGACTGCACCCTCAGCAAGTTTGCGGATGACACTAAACTGGGAGGAGAGGTAGATACGCTGGAGGGTAGGGATAGGATACAGAGGGACCTAGACAAATTAGAGGATTGAACCAAAAGAAATCTGATGAGGTTCAACAAGGACAAGTGCAGAGTCCTGCACTTAGGATGGAAGAATCCCATGCACCGCTACAGACTAGGGACTGAATGGCTCGACAGCAGTTCTGCAGAGAAGGACCTAGGGGTTACAGTGGACGAGAAGCTGGATATGAGTCTACAGTGTGCCCTTGTTGTCAAGAAGGCCAATGGCATTTTGGGATGTATATGTCGGGGCATTGCCAGCAGATCGAGGGACGTGATGGTTCCCCTCTATTTGACATTGGTGAGGCCTCATCTGGAGTACTATGTCCAGTTTTGGGCCCCACACTACAAGAAGGATGTGGAAAAATTGGAAAGAGTCCAGCGGAGGGCAACAAAAATGATTAGGGAGGACTTATGAGGAGAGGCTGAGGGAACTGGGGATGTTTAGTCTGCAGAAGAGAAGAATGAGGGGGGATTTGAAAGCTGCTTTCAACTACCTGAAAGGGGGTTCCAAAGAGGATGCATCTAGACTGTTCTCAGTGGTAGCAGATGACAGAACAAGGAGTAATGGTCTCAAGTTGCAGTGGGGGAGGTCTAGGTTGGATATTAGGAAAAACTTTTTCACTAGGAGGGTGGTGAAACACTGGAATGCGTTACCTAGGGAGGTGGTGGAATCTCCTTCCTTAGATATTTTTAACAATGACAAAGCCCTGGCTGGGATGATTTAGTTGGGGATTGGTCCTGCTTTGAGCAGGGGGTTGGACTAGATGACCTCCTGAGGTTCCTTGCAACCCTGATATTCTATGATTCTATGAAATAAGAGCAAGATGACATGAAAATTGTACAAACAGCAAACGTTGTGTAAATTGAAGCTTGCACATGCATATTGCATGGGTTACATAAAGACAAATGCTTAATGCTGATTGGAGAAAAAGTTAATGAATGTGTGATGTGGAAATGTATAAGAATCTAAGTTATGGAGAGGCTCAGATTGGAGAAACACCAGACCAGGAACTGAAGGAATGAGACTGAAGGACCAGACCAGGGATCAAAAGCTGCAATGACCATCATGAAGTACACGAGAACTTCCTGGTACTCTGAAATTCGGTAACTTGGGCCCCTGCCTGTTCCATCTTATCGGTTTATGGTCTGGCATAAATATATGTTCAGACATAATAAGTGATAATAATTCTCCCGAACACTTATAAATAAAGGTGAAAATTGATTAAGCCTAAATTGGGTGGACTTATGACTCAGTTTCCCACCTTACATTCCCAACACAGGACATCAGCGCTTTTCAGGCCAGGCCGGGAATGAAGACTGAAGTCATAGGTGGACAATACAGAGAGAAGCAGTGTCATGTGGCATGAAGTTCGGCTGATGTTAACACTCAATGGGTTGTTGTCTGAATATACCAGAAACGTGACTTCACAGAGGTAGTCGTGAAACACATAGGCTCCAAGCTCAGAAGGGACCATCATGATCATCTAGTCTGACCTCCTGCACATCGCAGGCCACAGAACCTCCCCCCCCCACCCCCGCACCCTCATTCATCCCCTATGCTCACTTCAGTGGCAGGACTGCCAGCCTGTAGGGGTCTCAGTGGAGCTCCAGGAGCTGGATTCGATGCCGTGGGGTTTACGTGTCTCATGACTGTTGAACGTTCTCTGCAGAGGGAATGACAGTGTGACTGGAGCAGGGATGAGTTAATCTGCCACGTTCTATAACTTGCCCTGGTTCGTTGTTTCCTTAGCAGAATAAATAGCTGCCCTGGAATGGTTTTGTTTGACAGGGGTATAGTGCGTGTTTAGCGAAGCAAATAACCCCCTGGGTGCCGACTACTAAGAGCTCATGCCCCAGCTTAAATCCCAAGGAACAAGTAGTAACCAATGTGTTTCCCCAGACTGTAATCCTCATAGCAATGTGAAGACTGAGGAAGAGGAAGGATGGCTCAGTGGTCAGG